ACTGGCTTATATAATTGCAGTGCAACAATCTCAAGTCATGTGTATGATTGTGTGATAATCAATTTATGCCTACGCACTCTATGTCTGTTTGTCTGTCTCTCTGGAACGCGCGCGACGTTCCAATCTAGCACCATTCTTTTCTGCTATTTCAAAAGGAAGGCGCACTGTAGCTGAATGATGTTATCATACACAAGCCAGTACCAATTCGATAGGTTTATGATGGTTGCATGACTCTTTGCAACATTTCTTAGACAATATTTCATTAGATCGGTGGCTGTTTGGGTATACCCACCGACGAATAGATTGGTTTCTTTCGAAATGTGCCCTCATGACAAATGGCTTGAATTCACCGTTTTGTATGGCGTTTGCCCCGGAAGTAAATGCACATAATTAAAAAGAGCTATCAATCAACGTTTTCAGTTTACCTGTGTGTTATTGCGTTTTTGTTCCAAATGAATTAAGCCGATATAAGTCTGTATACTGAGACTGACTACACTACCATGCTAATAAAGTGTGTACACGATGCACAAACGCCGCCGCCACCGCCACCGCCACCGCCACTCTCATGGTCCGTTCGCAATAAACCAAAAGCCCCCACTGATACGATAGTTACCATGTTTCAATTTATCCGCTGTCGTCGTCGTACCCGTCGTTCATGGCGAGCTAATCAGGCTTATATCCCAAATACATCAATCACATTTTTCGTAATATCCGGCCAGTAGCTAAGTCTAAGCAAGCATATATCAAATAAGCAAATTCGCCGGCAATACCGACTCCCACTTTGACAGGCGATCTCTTCGCCAATGTATTCTCAATACAGTCTATACTTTAATATGTGATTTGAGTGATTGCTATACTTCTGTGAGCGTTCTCTACCGCCCCCCCCCCCAATTCCGCTCATCCGTCCATCTCCTTGCCGCTGTGCCGTGCATATTTTTCCGGTACGAGAAAGCAGAAGAATGGGAAACATTAATTTGAAATGTAATTCCGTTTTACAACTCTTCTTCTCTTCGAGCAAGCGAATTATATTGAAACAAAATTTAATTTGAATTTTCAATTCGAATTCGAAATCGAAACCGAGAGACGAGAGAAAATGGATAAATATATTTAGATACTCGAAATGGTAAGGGAAAACAACAATAGCAACAACAAAAACCCAAGCAAACAATTACGTGTGAAGAAATGAATGGAATGTGTTGTGTAAAATGTATGTAAAACATACGGATTAGTTAAAGAGATCCACAAACAGATTTGGCATAATGCAAAAACAGACGGTTCATGTTTTTTCGTTGGCAGACTGTCCACTTTTTCATAATTTTCTTTGCTCGTGATGCGCGCGCGCTCGCTCAAGCTGGGCAAAACAATAACAAAAGAAACCCAAATGGCATTATCTGCTTTTGGCGTTATTTTTTTTTTTCTCTCGGAGAATTCCACAATGTGTCAATGGTAACACAATCAGAGTAATGTCATCAAGAAGAAGAAAAAAAGATGGAGATGGTTAAGAAGTGTGGCCAGCCTATCTTTAACGGATTTCAAGGAGGTTAAGGTTCTGTATACAAGCGTCTCAAGCGCATTCTTCCCCATTTCAATTGAAATCGTATTGTGTGTGTGTGTGTGTGTGTGTGTGTGTGTGTGTGTGTGTATCACACGTATCGAATTTGCTTATTTGGGGCCCCGATAGGAGTTTTCTCTTCGAACCAAATACGAGAGAAGAACGTACAACCGATTCAACGAACGAACGTGAAAAAATTGATACGAAAACACAACAAAAGCGAAAAAAGGCCGTTCACACTACACTTTCAACGGTTATTATGTATTTACAAAGTGCTTGAAAAGCAGTCGATGTTGTTTATCGATTTTGATTGAATGGGGAATTTAATTCATATGCTGTGCATTCTTTTTTATGGGTTCTTGTTAGAAGAGTAACTCCATCTCCATTTTCTTTTTCGGAAAATCCGATTCTGTTTCTTCCACATTTTTTTTGTTTCATTAAAATATTGACTTTGATTGTTGTGCTTCAATGGAATCGCTTAAAGTATTGCAAGTGTTTATTAGATCCTTTTTGGTTGTTTGTCGTCCTTCTCGTGTACGCTGTAATAAGAGGGAAGGGGATGATACGCAATTTTTTTTTTCGTTTATAGTTTGCCGCTATCAGACACAAATCGATATAATAAAATGAAAAGAAAATACCGAGATAGAGAAACAAAAATAGAAATCGCTTTGTCGTCGTTTCTGCTAGACTTAATATTTCATCATATCATTTCACGAAAATGTAGTGCTCAATGCCTTCGTATATAGTATTTATGCTAGAGTGAAATGAAATCATTAAACCAATAGTAAGATCCCGTTGACAACGGATTTTTATGATCTGTGAAATGTGCGTTACAAAGTAGTGAAAGATGGAGGAGATGAGAAGATGGAGGTGGGTGGAGCAATGTGTTTTTCTTTGAAATGATGACAAAGGATAAAAGCTGATACAAGATTTGTTTTGTCACTTGCATGATTTCTTTGAGAGATAAGGGCGTAATAAATTATTACTAAAAATCGCTTCGTTCTTCCCCTTCTTCTTCATCTTCTTCTTCTGTCGCTCTTAAGCACATTACGAGCATAAATGTATTTCATATGTGCCCAACGGATAAACTGGACCATCAATTGCTTTGTTGGACCAACAATGAAATGAATACACCAGAGCTAAAAAAAAAGGATGAGAAGAAGAAAAACGACCATAAAAATTTGTAAGCCGGAAAAGTTTGCAACGATGAAAACACATACGTCGAGAGAAAGAGAGAGCAGAGAGAGAGAGAGAGAGAGAGAGAGAGAGAGAGAGAGAGAGAGAGATAGGAAGAAAAACCGAAAGAGCGAGTAAAAAAAGCGCACACAAGTAATATGCTTGCACGGTGGCACCAAAGTTTGATCAGTGTCATGATACTTATGAATTCCCAACGGACGAGTATACAATTCACTGAAGATATGTTAACAACTCAAAGCTTTGTTGAAGTTATAGCGTGTTTGTGTTTGTGTGTGCAAAAGTTCGTAAGTGTATGTGTATAAAGTCGTTCATTTTGCGAATTATAAGTTTGGCCCCGTGGAAACTACGACTGAAAAGCATGCAGACACACAAACTCACCAACACATACAAAAACACCCGTTTTATTGCTCACTTAATTTATTTGGTCGAAAAGTGTGCGACTTGTGGGCGGCTCCCGAACCGTCTTCACTTGAGCACCGTATCAAATATGCAGCAATCATTCATTAGGCTAATGCTTTTTTCGATGGGTTTCTCTCTCTCTTTCTCCCGCTTTATGCTTTCCAAAAAATTGCGATGCTGCTATTTATAACAGAATGTACTGATTCGATAGTACAAAGCCAAATGTACGTGTGTGTGTGTGCACACCAGATCCATGGATCTGAATGTAGCATGAAAAATTTACCCAAACTAATAACTTAAAAAAGAATAAACAATGAAATGTATAGATAAATAATCAAGAGTTGCATGCCATTTGTAAACAAGAAACATTGCATGCTGAAATAAACACCAACGACGATGCCACACAGCTCACACATTGAGCATCCCAAAAACGAAACAATGATTAATCACTTTGTAATAACAAACCAATTTCCTGCACATAAATAAACAGTTATGTGTTCATTATGATGCTAAGCCGGTCGTCTTTTTCGCATTGGCCAATGCCAATTCAAAATGAATTTGTAGGAACAAGCTAACGAGGCGAATGGATGAGATAGAGAGGCAATGCAAAGTGAAACGCTGATAGCATTCACAAAACACGCAACAAGCAACGGCAATCCACACAATTGCCCTTTACATTCGTTCTGTAAATGAACGAGAGATAAAATTGGGCGACGTTTCATTATTAGTCCAAGTATATAAATTAAACACTCTCGATCCTTCACCTGGCCTCAAAGCTCACAGACACACACACTCACAACCAATGCACACATTCATTTCCATGCCCACTCTCTCCTCTCTCTCTCTCTCTCTCTCTCTCTCTCTCTCATTTAAATAGTTCGCTTTTCTCTCTTCGTTTTTGCCATTTGCAAAACGAATGAAACGAATGTAAATCCGAGACGGTATAAATAATGAATATGAAATTGCAATTGGACCCAATGCCTTCATATAGATTGTTCTAAAATTGAACAGGGGACAACCGATTTCTATTACATGCTCTCTGTCTTTCTATCTCTTGCTTGCTTGTTCACGTTATTTTGCCTCATGAACCCACCAAAAAAGCTCGACCATATCATTTGAACTGAACGAGAGATGCCAATGCATCGTCATTCATGCACAATTGTTGATTCAGCCATGGTGTGTATGTAATTTATACGCTTGCTTTTATACTCATATTGATATACAACTTTAAAAGTCTCATTCAGAGTGCCCACTTTTCTCGGCCTCTTCCACTCTCTCTCCCTCTCTTTCTCTTTCTCTCTGTGCGGCGGTGACGATGGCCTTTTTTGTTTCTTTGAGACTCATTGTGTAAATGCAAATGTTTTGTGCCATTGAATCCATTTTCCATTAGAAATACGGAGATTGGTTAGCGGATGTTTATGTGCAAGTGCATGAAATTCCATTTGAATTTTGCCATTCATTCGAAGTCTTTTTTCTCACTCAATCCCATTCTCTTATCAATGTTGTTGCTGTTATTGTTTCCGTCACCACCACCACCACTGCCGCCGACGTCGCCGTCGGGGCGAAGCATCGTATGAGAGTGTGTGTGTGTGTGTATGTGCATGAGAGACGTTTGGGCACGAACGCACTGCATTCGATCCACTTTAAACCCGTTGCAATTTTGCCAGGTCTTTCAATATAGTAGATCCATATACATGCCACCCCATTTGAATACACATACAATTTGATGTTGCTCTCTGCTCACAGATACGGTTATACTACTTTTTCACTCTCTTCTGTATGCCCTCGTCTTTCCAATTGTTGTAATTTCATTGTCATTTATTCTCTTCTTTTTTTTTCATTTCATTTGCAGATTATACGCGAACGCTTACCTGACTATCCGCTCCGAAATGGATTAATTTGGAACAACGCACCTGGAGCATTACTAACAATACCCACTTTTGCTGATTCGTCAGTAAAAATGCCATTTTTATTGGACATTTTGAATAAGGAACCAGGCCATAATTTTACAGCGGTGATATTTGTACAAATTGGTGTTACATTAACGCCAAGTTCGGCACTTTATCGTCTAGTCAAAACAATAACACGAAGTCAATATGTAGCTAGAGTGAGTATTGTTCTTCTTTTTCTTCTGTTGCTACTTCAGTCGTTATTTATCAATTTCACACGAAATTTCAAAACCACCATGCATAAAAGCGATTCGTTAATGACACTCTTTTGTTTCTTCTTCTCTTTTTGTCTGTTGTTTGTGTAACTCCATTTCATACAGATTATAATTTTATGGGCATCAGATCGACCGATACCGTCGAAAAAGCGATGGCCCAACACCGGTGCAATTCCGATGCATATTATCTCATCGATTGGTAACGATGAACGACCGACAATTTCGCATCGTTTCTATCCGCATAAATTTATCGATACGGATGCAATCTTGTCATTAGACGAAGATGCCATACTAAATACCGACGAACTAGATTTTGCCTATCGTGTGTGGCGTGACTTTCCCGATCGCATCGTTGGCTATCCAGCTCGGGCACACTTCTGGGATGATTCCAAGGTAAGCATACAAAAACGATGGAAAAATTATGCAATTTCCATTTGATATTCAATTTTCCATTTGCCGTTTGATTGATACTACTACAACGCTATGTGTGTGTGTGTGTGTGTGTGTGTGTGTGTGTCTCTTTCTCTCTCTGTCTGTCTTGCAACTTTACCAAATGCAGAATGCTTGGGGTTACACATCGAAGTGGACGAATTACTATTCAATTGTATTAACGGGTGCTGCATTCTATCATCAATACTACAACTATGTGTACACGAACTGGTTACCGTTGCTGCTGCTGAAAACCGTGCAACAATCATCCAATTGCGAAGACATTCTCATGAACTTTTTGATATCGCATGTTACACGAAAAGCACCCATTAAAGTCACTCAACGCAAAGGCTACAAAGACCGTGAAAGCGGAAGGTGCGAAAAACTATCATTACCAGCAATTTGCTAAATTATTCTTCTCATAGACGAGGGAAAATATTCACGAGTTTTTTTTTTGTTTTTTTGTTTTTTCTCCCTTTCTCTTTTTTGCTCTTGCTTTCTCTCACAGGAGTCCATGGAATGATCCTGATCATTTTATACAACGACAAAGTTGCTTAAATACATTCGCTGCAGTTTTTGGGTAAGTTTCAAACACTCTTTCTCTCCATTTTCCTTCGCTCTTTGTCACAACTACGCTTCATTTTGCGTATAAATTATACTGTACCAATAAATTTTCACAATTTCTTTCTCGATTTTACCATTTTTCTGCTCTTTATTCATTCGATGTCTAGCTATATGCCGTTGCTGCGCTCAAATCTCCGTCTAGATCCTGTTTTATATCGTGATTCTGTGTCTAATCTAAGGAAAAAATATCGCCAAATCGAACTTGTTGGTAGCTAGCGAACTGATTATTTCTACTAAAAAAAAAAACAAAAACACAACAAAAAATTGCTATATATTATTATTATTATTATTTTTTTTTTTTTCTAAGTTAAGTTAGACATTTTTTAAAAACCTAATTGTAAAACTTGAATTGTAAACGCGTCTAGTTGTTTCTCAATATTGAAATTTGTATATTTTGGAATCGGAAGGAAAATGTGCGCAAACAAACGCCGAGAGCGCGCGTCAAAATAATGTGTGCTTGTGAAATGATTAAGCCATTGAATTAGATAAATAGTCACGCATGCAATTGTATAGAGATTTATGACTGGATGGCGCACGGCATTTGAAATTGCGACAGAAGAGAAAAAAAGAGAAAAAACCGAATGAAAAAAAAAAATACATAGATCAATTGATAAAATGTTTGTAAAATAAGATGAATGAGAAAGATGGCCCTGAAATTTGATTTAGGCATTAGTTTAGGCGCTTAGTTATTCAGGAGCTATATGGTTAATCAATAATCGGAGAGTTGCAAGAAATGAATTTAAGCAAAATGAGCACTGATTTATGGCGTAAATGAGTGAAGAAAAAGAAATAAGCAAATGTCAGTGTTCGATGGTAAACGACCACATTGCCTATATGATGAAGTATCGAACATTCCGTTCGAATCAAATAACAGCAAACGTGCAGTCAAAAATGTCCTATTTACCTTGACCTATCACAAGTTCTCAGCACTGACATTGATACTAAATTGTAATAAAACATATCATAGCTACTTGTGAACAAAAAGAAAAGTATCTTTGAATTCCTATCACATCTAACCAAACAATGAAATTCATAGGCAAAACAAAAAAAAAAAACAAAATAGCTCAGCGACGCACGTCACCAGTTGATCGGCTGGTACACAGCATATTTCACCATTTGCTAACTGGTAAGCCGTACTCACACTATACTCGCATCAACGAATCTATGACTGAAGTCGCAACTGATGAAATGTGCTGTGTACCAGCTAAAATTCTGGTAACGCGCATCGCTGAGAGAAACGACCAAAATGCAACATTTTGAACATTAGTAACTAAATAATGAATCGCGCATACAATAACAAATTCGTTTTCAATTGCTTCCAATGTGATTCAAATATATGTGTGTGAGATGGCAAAAAGAATTCGTTTTGTTTCAACGAAAAAAAAAAAATAAAAATAACCATAAAAAAGAAGATATAATTTTGTGACCAGACCATATCATTGCCGTATTTTTGAACTGATCTGAAATATTCAATTGTCCAGTAAATTTAGAATTGATTTTCATTCGTATCCCATTTTGAATCGATTGACTCGACCAACATGGATTATCTCTATCAAATGACATTTCTTTGTTTCGAAATTGGCACATATCACTTTCTCCTCATTCTTTTTTTTTATACAAAATAAAAAGCAATCGAAACATGTAGGTTCAAGAGGAAATAAATAAAAGAGAAGAAAACGAATATTGAACACTAAGAACTCTCCCACATTGAAAACTTTGGAACAACTTTTAAATCCTAGTGAAACACTCCATATACATATGTATAAGCAATCTGTTTATGACACAACAATTTTAGAAGAAGAAAAAAAAAAGAAAATGCATGCACTCGATGTGTTTATCGTTGTCTAACCATATTTGCACCTATCGATACACATACCAAACCAAACGAAGCAAAAAAAAAATCACATTTCTCCGAAAGAAAAGGCGAACAATGAAAAAAAAAAGTGCGAATTGAAAAAATCTTGCATGTGTGTTTCTTGTGTAAAACGTAGGAAAATCAGGATATTGGAACATCCCAACATCTATATCTAAAACTTATCAATATTTTATCACCAGAACTGCTTTCAATGCACACAAACACCACATTTTTGCTTAGCCATTAAATCATACTATTAAATACTAAATATACCCATTGGCTGTTGACCTCAATATACCATTGGCAAATGACGAATAATGTGTGCAATTTGCCGAGATAATGAGATAATTTGCTCTTTTTGATCGTGAATGAGAGCTCTTTCTGATAAGAGCACATTTAAGGCAAAATTGCTCCGTGAAATCCGAGCCATTATCGATCCTCTTTTTTTCACACCGAAATTTTCAGCGAAGCATTTTGTTTGTGGCGTCAATTTGAACACTTATTCGATCATCTGAATGTTTTTCGACTTTGACAATACAGTCAGACAAATCAGTAATCGATATAATCCTGGCGATACAGAAAAAAAACATCGCAAAAACAATCGAAGATTTCTCGAAATAAAAAAGATGTTGTCTGCGATTTTGAGTTACTTCCGTTAGCCTCCATCCAATACAGTACACGTTCAGATGTAGTCAACAACAAAGAAAAAAACAGTCTGAAAGTTGAATTAAAATAGCAACAACAACAAAATAGAATAATTAATATGAACTGCCAATTAAAGCGATTTCGAAGCATTCGATGAAATCAAATCGAATATAACATTCGATTGCATATTGTTTTACCCACACAAACGTTCACACCATTCACCGTTATACACATGCCTCAAATACGTCCAAAATAATGAAAGAAAAAGAATTTGCCATTTTTATGTTATACATCGAACTGGAATATCCATTTATCGCCTTAATTTCATTCGAAATCGAAGCACGCGTACCGTTTTGATTCTCGCAGCTAAGTGGATTCAGCAGAAACAACAACAACAAAAATCCATTCAAAATTTTCGCAGCTATATAAATCTTCCATCCCAGGGGAGTGAGAGCGAAAAACACTTGACAAGGCAAAATCAAAAGAAATAAATACAAAAAACAACAAGAACAAAAGAAAAAATTTAATAAATATGTAAATAGTAATCAGCATTTCATAGAATCTCTTCACTCTCTCTCTCTCTCTCACAGTCGATGAGCCAAATCATAATTGCAAATGCAAAATTTTGAAATACAGAAAAAGAATTAAGCATAAAATATGTGTATTGATGCAACAAAAGCAAGAGCGAGAGCAACAACAACAACTAAATCAGGCTCATTCAATTGAATCACTCCACTCTCACAGTGGCTCAAGAGCTATACCGAGAAGAGTCCATTATTATCTGTTGTTATCCGGGGATTTTCATTCGGAGTTTCGTAGAAATGATGACGATGCTGAAGTATTTGCGTTGTCTGTTTCATCATTTAAATTGAAGCCAATCAGCCATACGCGAGAACTGCTATATATATATATATATATATATATAGAATTAGTATATATAGATAACATTCACTTGTGGCAAATGCAATGTTTCGCATAATTTATTAGTTAATTGAAGCAACAAATACAAATAAACAAACAAACCGAAGAGAGAAAAAAAAATTGATTGAATATACTGTAGAATGGCCTTATAAATCAACTATAATTGTTTCCATTGTGAGATTTATCTGTGTCATATATCAAAATATGTTGATAAAATTGGATCGTATAGAGTATATCGTTCACATGATTATGTTGACGATAGGAATATAGAAAAATAAATGATAAAAGAAAAACGACTAATACAAAACGACTTGGAACGCAATGCATAATATGATCCGCGATTTATTTTCGCACTAAAACCGACTTAATACACATTGCTGTGTTCAAACCAATGCTGTTGAAAGGTGGTTTTGCTTTTAGTTGCAAATCACATAGAATTTCCTTTTTGTCGCGAAAAATTGTATACGATTTTTTTCTGTCGTTCATTTTTGTTCTTGTTTCATTTGCCGAAAAATAACAACTTTGAGTTCATGAATTCGTACTGAGTGAGTGAAAAAAAAATGCAAACTAGCGTAAAAAAATCCTATGTTAAGGTGGGTTTAGGATAACATTTTTCGTATTATGGAGAAAAACACCAGTTCTCTTCTATTTTTTTTGTAAATAAACACACGACAAATGGGGGAATAATGACAATTTTCACGTTGAATGAAAATTATCTCCAGCAGTTGAGCACAAAACCACGAACACAAAATGGGAACTATGATGACATTCTCTCTCATTTAGTTCACACAAAAAAATTAAACATACACACATACACTTACTTATACACTTACACATCGACGACATTACACGAGACAGCTACAACAACAACCACAAAAAAAATACTCTCCTACTTGACAACAAACTTGGATCACTTTTTATTTTTACAATTTATACTAAATACTTGTACTTTGTACTGGTGACGCGAATATTACAATATTTCTATGGATGAGATTATGGGAGTGCAGCTAAAAGAGAAACGTAAGAGAAACAACAATATTACACCAAAAACAAGCAATTAATTATAGAGATTATTTTAAGCGAATCTTTTCTATGGCATTTTCTAAGGCAAGACAAACACAAAACATTCAATATTCCAAGATTTTGACACATGCATTTCATTTTATATACCAAGCGCAATTTGGGCGCAATTTGGGCGCAAAGTTGGGCCAGCGCGGATTGTACGCACAACATTTGGCGATCAAACTAACACCTTTTTTTCCTTCTGATCCCGTTTTTTATTTCTCTTTCGATTGGTTTTTCATCACGAAATTCGTTTAATCAAATTGATGATAATCTCAATCTTCAACTCACGGATCTTTCAGATTTATTTTTTCCAATATAAATCTACCACGCGATCGCTTGTCAAAACATCGTTCCGTTCACACAGCACACATTCTTACAGCATCAGTATTACACACAATCACAACAATAAAAATTAAACACTTTAAGAAAATACACACACAAACACACACAAAAATGATTACAACCAACAACCAATTTGACTGTTACAATTTAAAGAGATGCTTTATTTTTTTTTATTTATGCAAAAATATTTTCTTTTATAAGTGAATCGGTTGGGTTTTCGATCATTTCATCACCCCACTTCATTTCTTTGTCTACTCTATTTTGAGTTGAAAGAAGAAACAAACTAATTAGCTAAAGACTTTTGGAATCGGAATGTAAATATAGTTAATTGTACCAATAAAGTCTGTATAAATAGAATGATCAATTGAATAAATCAAATCAATTAAAAATGAGAACGATGAGTGTAGTTTTAATTCCAATTTTCCCATTTTAAACTCTATTCTATTTTATTTTTCAGTGCAACGAAATGCAAATCTATTTTTCTTTAGGTAAGACCGTTAATTATGAAAAATTAAAACTTTACTTTAAATCCGGTAAAAAAAAACGCATTTTATTTCTATGAACACATACAAAAAAAGATTCATTATATTTGCTCCATTCGATCAGGCTTTCGTTGTGATTTTGTGTGCAGATGATTTTTTTTTCATAATTTTTTCAATCCGCTGCCTGATTATACGAAGCTCTTTGAGTTCGTACATTGCTTGTTTGGCCAGCATTCCTTCGGGATTTGTCGCTGGCTCATACAAAAGCATTCCGATTGATTCCTTTGCTATTTTTTCAGCCTCGTTTAGTTGGTGCTGGAATGAAAATGTGAAACTTTTCAGTATTCGACACAGGATTTTCAACGAAAATAGTTAAAAACAACTTTTATGAAACTATTTCAAAGTTCGAGTGGGGAGAAAAGGTAAAGTTTGAAGAGTAATTTAGTAAAACAAAAAAAACGTGTTCTTAAGTCCGTCATTTTGAAATATTGTATGGGAAATTTGTTAAATGCATTTAAATTTAAATGCCATGGCTACAGACTAAAGTTTACAAAATATTGTGGAAAAATATGGGTTTTGTCGCAGAAAAATTGGAGCTCGGTTGTAATTCTAGTCAATTGCATAGCTGTTTAAAAATTTTCTGGTCGATTGACTGTTTATAGCATGTGACATGTGTTTTGGTGCATGCTACACGAACGCTGTAACAGTAGCAGTAGCACAGCACCAACATGTCGTTTAACTAAATGCGATATGTTAATGATGTGAGCGAACAAAATGGGCAATACGAATGATAAATAATAATAATCACCAAATATTCGGCATCGGTAATAATTTTCTGTTGATGCTGTAGTCGAGCGAGTTGTACAAGCGGAGCAAATTGTTCGTACATTGCGATTGCTCTCAAGCGCGAAATGCCCGGCTGCAAAATATTAAGTAGCGGAATGAACTCTTCGCACAAGTCAATTTTGCGTTGCAGTAGATTTTCTAGAGGTGAAAGTATGCGTTGGTTGCTACTGACAGCATTGGTGGCGGCTGCGGCACTGACAAAGGAATTGGTGGCATTATCATATGCGGTAGCGCTCATGTGACGTATGACTGCTGCCAATTTTTGTTTCAATTCAATGAGTAAATAATGATTTGGATGGAGTATTTGCGTGTATTTGGTGATGAGCAATTCGATGCGTTCAATGTTTGGGCTAATTTGTTGGACCTGTAGCCGAATGTCGCGTAAAATCAATTGGATTTGTTCGCTTGGCACATTTGTATTGCAATTTAAGCATTTCCATGTGGTTTTACCATCCATGCGAATCATGTAGCCCATGGTGCACGATTGACATCGCATTGAGCTCAAATGTGTCCCAAACTCCGTGGGATCCATGCATCGCGAGCACTCGCACTCAAAATATTTTCCCTTTGTTAAATGCTCTTGCCGCGCTTCAGTACCCTATGGTTGATTGGTAAACGGATGTATATAGCCATCGATAACAAGCAGCCCCATATGCAAAAACACAGAGAGTGGCACACGCCGCGCATATGATTTCAAACGCCCAAACAAAAGACAAGTGATAAAATAACAATAAAAATTTAAATCGTAAATATTATCATAGCAATATTCAGTCGAGTGCATGCATTTCCATAAAATGTGTTGTACACATCTCTGTTTTTGTGTGTGTGTGTGTGTGTATTCGGCGGTGATTGTTGTTAGTGCCTGTTTCTAAATTGGTTTGCCATCAGAGCAATGCCACACCGATAAAACCGAATATCCAAAATGCAAAACGGAACTCACCGCCGCCACGATAAAAACTAAATTTAACAAAATTTAACCGCACCAAATGCACCCGAACCACCACCACCATCGCCGTCGTCCCATCTCCACATTTCAGATGCGCGCACCACGATCGATCGATTGCTGAACTTGTTTAGTAAACATTTTATGGTATCAGAACTTACATACAGCGAAGCAGTATAATTGCTATAGACTATTTCGCCCATTTTAATATCCAAACTGGCGTAGACTTTCAGTTGTTTATTGTTGTCAACGCTTATGAATGTGTTTCCAATGCAATCGTGAGCTAAGAGGGCTGCTTGAGTGTATAGACCCCGTACGGGAAACTCCTACGATATATATGTATATGTGTGTATTTTGGTTGGAAAAAGATTAAAACGAATGACAATATTTCAATGTCAAGTGATGCACTTGACAAGCAACCAAAACGAAAATTTTTTCAAGAAAATTGAAAGAAAAAAAGTGAGCTGGATGCGAACCTCAAAGTGTTTCGTTCGAACTTCCATGGTGTTCACATCCAGAATGCCGCACAATTTCTGCAGAAAATCATCAGTCAACGTCCATGGTGCATTGAGCGATTGGAATTTTGCATCGATATTTATCGAGCGCAACGGTTGAATCACATTTTTTGCGTGCTCATTCCAAATCCATGTACCGTGTCGTTTGTCGCAATGCGATTCCATGCACATCAGTTCATCGATTTGATATTTTAGATCGTCCGTAGCCGTAGCACCGTTTGCCCGTGCATTTTGCTCAGCATATCGATAAAATAATAATAAAACACGCAACGGTGTCACCACACCGAAATTATCGATTAGAAATGTGTCGGGCAATTCAAGCTTTTTCAATGTTTCACATTCGATTGCATTATGACTGTCATAGCAATTCCAGCACAATGGAACCACTTTGCACTTCCTGAATACAAAAAGAAGAAGAAGAAGAAGAAGGAGACAAAGTAAATGTGTTGCAAATGGATATTGGGTTCATTGGGTTTCGTTTATTATCTCTTTTGGTCAACGAATATAATTCGGATGAAATGGATCAGTGGATTCTCACTTGCACGTTGTGTCCGATGGCGCATAACAATTCAAACAGTTCATTGGACAGTCCCAATATGGGCCGCACACAAGTGGCGATTCACTCAACAGTAACTCGCCGGCTTTTATGTCTTCGGCTGCAAGCACAAACCTATTCCACGCCGGTGATATTGAGTCCACATCACAGTGGAAATTAATTAACACTTTCGTTAATAATTTATCAAGAAAAATTAACACGATCGATTATACCTGCCGAATTTGTCATTGGTGTCAAGTGCACATTTTTTATAGAGAAAAACCATGTTGCGACCACATAAAATAGCGAGACAAAAAAACGACACGAAATCACAAGCACTCACTCTCTTTGCGAATGGGCCAAACAATAAATAGAAAGCGTTTGAATTGGCCGCAAATGAGCAACATCTACGGCAGCCTCACATATGAGTTTATCGTGAGTGTGAGATCAGTGTGCTGTGCATAAATCTGGGTGCATGTGTTTGTATGTACGAATTTGACGACTTGCAAATCCATCAAACCGCACAAAATTAACTCGAATTCAATTCGATTTAATTTTAGATGGATATCACATTATCCATTTAATTAAAATTGGCTGAGAATTAACATAAATACAACGACAAAGCATTGCAGCGTTGCTCACACTGTTTACTTTCTATGCTACTAAAAATACTTTGCTTGTGAATTAAACCCCAATGTTTTGATTTAATCACACCGTGCGAATTGTTGGACGAATTGTTTTCGACGAGCAGTCGACCAAGACCAGAAATCGAAATGACAACTAGAAGAGGAAAAAATCCACAGAATAAAATATTCGCACGTCAATTAGCGCACATCTCTTAGACAATTGTTACTAAAAATACTCGGTTTCGAAAAGTCATTATAATCCGGACTTGGTTTGCCTCTATCATTGTGGCTTTTTGTTCGCGAAAATCGTTCTGTTTTCACACATTCATGTGTTTACCTAATACTTATAAGTATTAAATAGTCACAACAGACTATTGATATCCCAATGTTAACATAACAAAATACAATACTTTAATCGTTTAAACATTTCTTTGTTCTTTATTTTCAATTAAAATGTCATTTGAACCTAAAATGGATGTGATGGCATTCTAAAAAAAAAAGAAATCAATAATTATTTCACATTTAATGAATTTGCATGTGATTGGCTATGGCCCCATGGTGGATTTGCGTATTTATCAAACCATTCCACTCCCACATCCAAATTGATTACAAACAATTATTTTTGAACAGAAAAAAGAGTACATCAATTGAACAATCACTTCATAAATAATGTATTCACTTCTAAATGGTACCGCTGTTGTATGTATTTTTTTTTCTTGTTCTACCTCGTTTAAAACTATTTATCTTATGATGATTACAAAATACTTAGCATCACAGTGATAGATTTGTAATTGAATAAAACATGAAGCTCCAATGCAATAATTATAATACAAAATCCATTTGTCCCTTAATATTCCAATTTATCACTAGCAATAATTATGAATATAATGTTAATCTAGATGTCAATGAACCAGATCATGTTTTTTTTTTCTTGGACGGTTCGGTTTTGTACGTTATTTTTTCTCATAATCGAAAAAGCGTTGAGAGTTCACAAGGGAAAATTATCATCAGAAGAATTATGTCAATGATTTTTATTTTCTGATTCCAACTCTCTCTCCATTTCTCTGTCTCTCTCTCTGTCTCACACACACACACACACACACAGCCTACTTTGTGTATGCGTATTGAAATAGAGCCGCTGATGGTGTTCGCATTGGTACCAAACGTGGCTCTCCGTCGCTATTCCGAAATACCATATAATTACGACCGTTGATAATTCGCTTTGTGCCACTGTTGTTCGAATCAAATGAGTTGATGTAATCGTCTGTCGTAAAGATTTTGTTGCGATTAAATAGCGTCGCATACGATGGTGGCGGTGTTACATTCGACATATTCTTTGCCGCTTTGCTACTGAAATTTTTGCTGAACGTCGTACTTCGGAATTTCAAGTGATCATAGTTAAGACGTCGATTTAATAGCTTGAAAATGACCTGAAATCGGAATTGATAGAGAAAAAGAATAGCGATTGTTGGTTTTTGTTTCTAATCGACAAACAGAATGAATGAACAAAGAAAGCCGATTGAAAATTCTAATTCGAAATCAATTATGATATTGCGGAACAAAAATTCATTTTTATTTTCTTTTGGTTCTTAAAAATGTCGGCCAATTTGATATATATACGTATATGTTCAATACCTCCGTAAAGAATATCACAACTGAGGTGCAAAAACCGGCCAACATTATCCAATATGTCATCGATAAATCACTGTTGCGCAGCTGCCGCTCGGTGCCGCCAAGATTTTGCGGGCAAATTTCGGCATTCGTTAGATTTTCGCCGAGCATAAATTTCACGATACCCGTTTCCACCAGCGTCAACAGGCTAATGAAAAAAATCAATGCACAAAATCGTAGAAAAACAAAAACAAGATCGAAATCAAGACAGAAAATCGAACGAAAGAAAACGGAAACTTACTCTGGATCAAAGATGATGTTTAGTTCGGACTCCAGATTGTAGGCGAATGAACGTTTTCGCTTCATGAATGGATCCTTGGCCGTTGCAAATGGACATTGCTTCTTTTCGTCAGCTGGATTGCGAAGCTTTCGCTCTTGGTAATCGCTGTAGATCAAATGATTTATCGCCGGACGATCACGGACCAACACATAACCATCTCGGAATACGTACTCATTGAGTGTGTCGTTGTCCGATTTATCCGAGAATATGATTCGATGATCATCGTACATTTTGCGCATCATTGTGAGCGATTCATTGGACTGTGATGAGATAAAATGTGGTTGATTAAATTTCGAACGAAGCCAAAATGCGAACTGAAAAGAAACTAAGCTGAAGTTGGAATTCAATTTGATTTCTTACATTCAATATTGCATATTCAACGCATCCGCCTTTTGTGGACACAAACTCCTTTTCGATTCGATAAATATCGTCCCATGAATTGATGGGCAATGTAAACCGTGACAGTGTCAAGAAAGCGGTTAAATTAGCGGTATAAAATGAAGTTAGGATGGTTATGAAAATCCACCATGTTGCGAATATGAGACGAGTTGAGTCTGCATTGAAACCGAAGCAATAGTTAGATGAATGTTCAATGATGTGCCTTCATAATCGTTAAACGTTTAAATGGATAATCGGGAAAATAACTTGTAATTACCTGCAATCGGCGATAAAGTGCTGCCCTGTTTCAGCAAAGCACCGTACACGAACCACATGCAATGCGGTAGAGCATACATTCGTTGTTCGGTATCGCCGGTGATTTTAAACCGTAGTATGATGATGCAATAGATTAATGGGCCAACAACAAGTAACGAAACCAAAATCAAAATCCATACATTCAGTGTGAATGGTGCAAGCAAACCCGTTCCCGTTGCAGAGATTACCGGACGTCTCATTAGCATCACCCATTCCCCTTCGTCCAGTGTAGTTACCGAATATTTCAAATAATCGCGCGTATCCGATAGGATTGGCAAAAAAGCCACTGCTATTTCCGATTCCTGCCAACAACCACATTTTCATGACCATTTTATCTAGAATATTTTCAGATGGAAAATTACTGTGCTTAATCGGCATTACCCACCTTCTTATACAGGCTCTGTAGTAAACTGCCATTGAAATCATCGTAAGAACCAATTATGTTGCGATCATGCTTTACGATATCATACGTAAAATTGTATTTGTCCATCAAAAATTGGAACAATTGAAAGGCTACACCCTTGCCGATCAACTTTCCCGACTCTAGTTCGGTATAACTCAGCGGCGGATCCTATTAAATAACATCATTTAGGAATATTTAACTGAAAACTTCTTTTTTTTTTCAAAAACAACACATACTTCAAGCGTAACCACTTTTACAACGGCTCCATTTAGACGATTTTTCAGTTCGTTCCATTTTTCGAGCTTTGATTTTATCGACAAATCCTCATCTGCAATGACAACTTTCATTGAAGCACTGAATTCGAATATTTAAGCCATATTTTTTTTATTGTGACTTTTTTTCATGAAACTAAGCTGTCTTCGTCCGTACGATTCAACAAAAAAATCAAATTGAACAGAAAAATCGAAATAAATACTGATATCGTAAACCATCCAATTAGTAACATAGTTCTAATTGTAACAGAGTCTCAAAATAAACCACTTTTCTAAAAAAAAAATACAAATAAGTCATATGAACCCGTGAGCATGAAAACGACTTAAAAAAAATCGCCGATAAAAACGTAACATAGATTTGTCGACGTAACATACCAGTGTACAATTTGTTCCGAATTGAACGAGTAACAAATAGGTGTTTCGCTTTGTTCGGCGACGTTTTTATAAGTCGTTTTTATGCTCACGGGTCCATATATTCATATCAGAAGTTTTTTTCGTGTTCTTCTCAAATATGATATAAAATACAACAGTTACCCTTCAAAGTTTTGCAGAAAATTAGTCTATTGTTACAATTTGGATGGTTTGCGACACAATTACAATAAATTAAACATTTTTCTGTTACAATTTAATTTTTATTTTTTGCGATTCTTTTTTTGATTTTTGTAGCTGTTTGATATTGCAAAAAATTATGATTTAAAAAAATTCCGAACGAAAAAGTTCAAAGTTTTATTTCACGAAGCCATTTTGTATTTGTTTGATGCGACTGAATTTTTTTACGGTTCGGCGAAAGAAAAAAATGAAAATTCCCAAGCTTTTTTCAGCGAACATTTTTTTGCCAGAGTTTTTTTTTTGTCGGAAATCCGATCCATCAAAGAAAATCTTTCGAGAAAAATTCAATCCATGGCGGAATTATCGTTTTGATAGGTGGTTTTTAAACTTATCTGTTTTCTTTTCACAACAATGATTTTTTCGCTGAACTGTAAACTAGGCTTAAACGAGAATTTCTCTATTTTGTCTCCTTTTCTTAAATAAATATGCCCAGAAGCACTATTAAACATTATTTCAGATCTTTTATATTCTTAGTTTGTTTTTTCTTTTTGTTTTGTATTTTTTTTTTACAAAATGTTCATGTTTCACTTTATTTTTACGAGTACACTCGTTCGTCGGCATAAAATTCCATTATTTTTTCAGTTATTTGAAGGAAAAAATCGTCGAATCTCAAAAATTCGTCATTACCTGACCCAATTTGATCGTCAAACTCTGGTAACTGTGTGGACTGTACATTATTAATGATCGCATTCACATCGACCAGTTCACTGAAGTTACAGCGGCAATTTGTTGCAAAATATAAAACGATCAGTAGAACTTTTAATCCAAACATGATTTAATCCAACGGATGTCGGAATTTTGGTATTAGCAAATCGTTGTCTTTAATATGATTGGTCGTTGAAATCGTCCATTGGTTTGAAAACATTTGACAAAATGCGGTTTGTTTTTTCGTTCTGCTTTCAATTGGTTGCACACTATTATTAAGGACTATGCAAATGTATCGCAATAAATTCAAATAAAACGAACATCCCGAGGATTGGTTAAACGAGGTGACGTGGGTTGCGTGTTATATAGGTAAGCGCTTTAGTTGAACTAACCGAATCGGTTCGGTCATCGGTTGCAGAGAAATCATCATAAACTAGTAAAAGAGCCGTGAACAATGCATGGTTGTGTTAGCCAGAAGGCATGTGAATTGGTGTGTCGGGCCACAATGGGCACACGTGTGTGTATATGTGTGTTGGGTATGTGGTGATTGGTTGAGTTTTCGTTGTTTATCTTTTGCCCATTCCAATCGGAGGTATTTTTTTTTGCGCGCGCGGTGAGACGTTTATCAACCAAAATCGATTGTATTGTTTTATTTATTTATTTTTTAGCGTAATTTGAAACACGTAGGTGCTACGGGGACTCTCAATTACAAACCATGGAAAATCATACAGCGAACCAAAAACATATGACACACCAAGTGAAAACACATCGCATAGACGTGATGTCAACGTAAATATTATTTAATGTTCATAATAGAGAGTAAATATTTAGCCCTGAGCTTGGATCCAATGGAAGTGCACTGTTCACATTAGGTCTTCGCTAGCAAATATGTGCTTAGGTGTCGCTCGAGGGAGGAGGGTGGTAGAAACTTATTGTCCAAAAAAGTGTTGGTTGGCTTTAGAGCCGCAGCTTATGAAATTATTATTGGAACATTCATCTCAAATGACAATGTACGCTATTCATATTTCAGACAACAGCATCACATCATGTGTAGGACAACAGCGTCTAACACTACTAGCTATCAAAAAAAACCGTCAAGTGGGCGCCAACAGTTCTCCATTGGAATGTCCATAAGAAAGCGCACTCTCTACGGCAAATTTCGCCATTTTTCAACAAAAAGTGTGCAGTGCTATACGCTGTTGGTGTAGGATTTGTTCAACTTTCAACTAACCATTTTTGTTATATGCGCGGATTTTCGAAAGATTTCATTCATAATGATCGTCGAATGTACTTGCAACGGTAACATTAAACTGAATCATCATTCCTTGTGTGAATCCGGGATAATACATTACTATCATTTATTCATATTTTATTGCATATAATTTGTATGACGATAAAACATGTAGTGTCATCAAAGCTGCACCATATATGAAGCTTTTGATTTGAGTCTCATGAAAATGCATAAAATTTTATTGCTTCGAATGGCCAATGAACAGTGAATACACACCAAAAATATTATTACAACGATAGACACGTGTCCTTTTTATTGTTTTATTGCATTAAATTGGCAGAGGATTTTGTTTATTTGTCAAATGAGCATGCATTTGTATTAGCGTATCTAAATTCTGATATCAAATTCCGAGATGTGTCCTACCAACACCAGGCCAAGGCTGCTTTGATGGTTGTGCTGGAACTCGATTCATTTTCTTTTCAGCTTTTTTTTTTATTCTAAACATATTCTTGTTTTGTTTACGTGAGAAAATGTTGAAATGTACATGTTCCTAAAATCAGCGATCACTTTAATTCGGAAGAGTTTTCTCGATATTTTTTCAACTTCATTTTACCCAATTTGTTCACAAAGCGACACCGAATCTAATGGGATAATTAAGCTCTTATGAAGAAATCACATTTTGAAAAATTATGCGTAGGCCATAGTATATCAGCGTTATAGATTGTCAATAAGGTTGGGCAAATTATATAGTACCTATGTTATTAATGATTTAAACGGACACCTGTCCGAAAAAAAAACATCAGCATTACAAATCAATTTGATTCCATTCTCTTGCACTGCGTATATTGGTTTTCTAGTCCATTTTTCCATCGAATATCAACAAATTTTATTGGCCTATTGTTTGTTTAAGTGCTCATGAATAGAAGGCGCGCGAGTGTGTGTATGTGTTGAGGTTATGAAATAGTGTTCGGTCATCGAATGTATCGTCTGAAATCACAAATCACGATTATAAACAAGAATTAAAGCTCACCACATAATTTGATAGAAATCTGACCTGATTTACTAGCAAACAAAATGAACCATTCTTTCAAGCCTATCAAACATCACAGAGCGTCAAAGACGATGATGGAACACGTGCCCAACAGGAATTATAAATCAAATCAATCATATATGGCTTTGGAAATGAGCTCTTCACATCCAATGAAAATGTGAAGAAAACCCATTTATATTCTTCTGTGTTTTCTTTTAAACAAAACAATGGAGAAATTACTCGAATTATGGAAAATTTAGTGTTTTCTATACTAAAAAATATTCGGCCTGCAGGGAAACCTTTTACATAAAAAAAAATTCTTCCTCTCCCCACAGTCTCCACTTTCTTGCTTTAAAAGGTTCTCTCTCCGCCCTATCTAGCATTAATCCTCTAGAGATAGGAAAATACTTGAAAAGTATAAACGCAATTTTTTCCCCGATAACATGAAATTGGTTCTTTTTGATATGACATTAAAGTAAGTATCGTGGGATTAAAATGAGAATGACTACAGTCTATTCCATGTTATCAGTTCAATGTAATGAACAAAATGTCATCTAAGCAACAGGCAATGGCCGGGCGGATGGAAAGAGATTTTTAGCATCGATATGATACATGTCGACGACACACATAATACATTTTATCAGACAATGTCGTTAACGAAATGAAACATCGGTATTCGTGGAAACGATCGATTACATATGCAGATGTCAACGCGAAAGAAAAAACGGTAATCATAATTGAATATGGCAAATGGATACTACGCATCAGGAAATGTTTCCAAGTTCTTTGTCAAGGACAATTTTTGTTTACTAATTTCAATTTGCCGTTATAGTCTAATGCCGTTTATTTGCGTTTTGTTGAAGTCGAAAACCAATTTCTTAGTGAAAAAAATAATTTGTCCATTGCAAATGATCTACATAAATTGTAGATACGCCATGGGCCAGTGTCAATATTAGTCAATGCACTTTTCGATGAATTTCCGCATAAAAATTCGCCATGAAATCAAGCTCATTTATAACATCAGCTAGGAACGTGGGTCATTTTGTGGCTGCAAAACCTTATCTAAAATTTAGATTGCATGCTCAAAATGATTTAGCATATCAAATCTTTTCGGAGCCAATTTTTCAAAAATTTAACAACAAACTAAACGGACAAAAAATGATAGCCATTTCCCAAACGAAATGAAATGCTAACTTCTTCTAATGCGTCATTTGAAAAATAAACAATAGCTACACAATAGGAAAAAATCGCCCGTTCATCCGTAAAAATAACCGAAGACACGAATTTTCATCACGTTATGATTACATGGCATAATATAATTTGGCTGGTGGCTAACATATATTATGTGTATCAATCGAAAATGAGCGATATATTTACACAGGCGACTCCAAAGTTGTGTGTATTACCGACAACCATTTTCGTATGTAAATTGGTTTAAATTTGATGCACGCAACATAAAAACCCATACATATTGCAATCAGTAATTGTGTGGAATACGTACACTGTACGTCGTACAGGGAAATCAATATCAATGACAGTGAATGAAAGAAAAAACAAACCCACAGCGTTTTGAACAGTGGATGTATGGAAAAAGAAATTAGTGTAAATGAGTGTGTATGTAGTGCATTTATCGTGGTAACAATACACTTAAGAAATATTATTACCGTCCAATAAACACACAAGTAAATAGTGCATTTGGAATCAATGTATTATGCATGTCAATCCGGGTGTTTTTTTCTTCTTCGTTCAATAAAATGTTTGGCGAATGCAGGCAATGCACGAATTTGCAGTGCACGAAGCAAATTTGAATTTGATTCGGAAGTTTTGAAATGAATGAACGAAAATGCGGCATGAAATGGCTCATGGAATGCCCCATAGAATAGACTGTACCGCAAAATACCTATTCGGGATGCATGGTTTTTATTACCGTTACATGAAACGTACATTGTAAATGTAAAAGGTACTAACTTTGTTTTTTTTTTTCTCCATGGGGGTCCAAAACTTTGGATTTTTTCATTCCAAAACCGATTCTGTTTTTATGTTTAATTATTATCTGTGACTAACTACAAATTAAGATTAACATGTTATTACCAATACGATACTTGAAAATTTTCATTTCCATACATTAGGATATATCATGTTGAGTATTGGTTATTGTGGTAGCATTGAATTTAATACAGAAGTTTAGCTGATTTTTTGATTTTTGGTGACCTGAACTCTATTGTACTCTGTATGCTATCTGTCGAATCCATTCATACATTGTGATGTAGTACATTTCATCAGAGATTGCATATTTACTGCTGAGTAGGCCTGAGCTGAGCTGAATTTGCTAACTCAGGCGCCTGAAGCGGTATTTTAACGCACTTACGGTGCAAAATTGTCGTGGCACGCTGGAAATCCTACTGATTTTGTTTTTTTTTCTAATTATATTTGGGTAAATTCCAGCGTGCCACGACAATTTTGCACCGTAAGTACGCTAAAATACCGCTTCAGGCGCCTGAGTTAGCGAATTCAGCTCAGCTCAGGCCTACTCAGCAGTAAATATGCAATCTCTGCATTTCATGTAACGGTTCAATTATAGTTTGTTATGCAATAACAAACCAGGGCCAAAATGAGTCCTTTCGTAGGTTCAAAAAGACCGAGCGCAGCGAGGTGAACTTTCTTGTTTCTAATTGCTTTTGAAAACCATTTGTATGCATCATTTATTCTTTTCGATGCAAATTGTTGTCTCTTGTAATTTCTTAATTGGTGATTGTTTATTGTTTTTTTTTTTTCAAATAACGAAAAATCCATAAATGTTGTTGCTTTTGGGGCGGTGACATGTTTCATTTTAATTGGAATTTTGATGTCAGACACATAGGACATCATATGTATGTACGGCACCAACAACCAAGTCGAAATGAAGTGCGGTCTCTATTGGATTTGATAAGTGCAAAGAAAATGAACACATGACCTTAACCTAGCCACCAATATATATTACGCGCGGCCAAAAAAAAAAACAACAACAACAACAACAACAACAACACAACGCGATAGCATTCTTTGTTCTCCTCTTTTTCTATTGAATGTTAGCCTTTGTTTGTATACGTCAATAATACGATGTGTGGACGCGTCACATCGTTTGGCCCCAATGTGTGATTGACTTCAATTAAATGCGCGGCGATAGTCGCAGGTGTCAATTGAAATCACCAATAAATTCCAATTAAACCGCGCACATTGCATTTGGTATGCGGTATGACGTGAGCTTTTCCTGTGTTCCATTTTCAATCGCATTGTATGTGCGCTGTTTTTGATTCTTTCACTCTTTTTCCTTGTGCTTGCTGTTGTTGCTATTTAGTTTTCACAATTTTTGGTATGTGTGTGCCTTCTCTCATCTAATCACATGCTTGGGCTGACAAATAAATGTGCAGGCATCACTTTTCGTCCATTAGCAATTACCGCTAAGCTTATAATTCCATTTAAATTACACATATTATGTTCCGTGTGGAAATTTCGAATAATATGGGGAGAGATTGTTTATTAGGATGAAATGAATTTCTGAGTAAATTCACTTGACTAATGCCTACAGTGGAACTGTAGGTGTAGAATCTATACACTGTAGATTTTGGATGAAATTGGATTCGATCCAAGGCGTTTGATTGTGAGAAAGAAAGATTGTGAGAGATAGAGAGCGAGAGACGCAGTGAAATCAAGAGATTAATTGACTTTCGATACTCCATGCCAACAAAATCAGCGCTTCATGTCATTTTCATTGCATTTCATTGAAGCATATTATGTGTGCAATTTGCAGAATTTTCTTTTCCTATGACCAAACCGATTATTCGGTGCAATAAAGAACCATTTATATTTGTCGTCAAGTTATTCTTGATGATTTTGAGACCCGTGCCGCGTCACATTAACTGTGTGCAAGCAAAACTGACCATCAAAAATTTATGGAACTAATGACTTATTTTAATAACACGGCACAAATCTGACGAGGCAAAACTTCCATTTGACATCGTAATAATAATTGTGTTTTATTTCATTTTTTTTCGTTCGTCGGCATTGAAAATAGATTGGGATTATTCCTATCAATCACACCAAATTTACCGACGAGTTGATTTAGTGTGTAACATGCTGTTTGAATGCCATGATCGATTCTCTTGTTCGCCGCTCGCTCACTCTGTCCCTCCCCACGTACTAGGGCACTAAAAACCACTTTTCAGGACAACGAAACACTAATCGATAGTCAAAATCACGTACAAATCAACCACCATCCCTCATCATCATTGTCCATTTGTTTGGATATTCGAAGCGCGTAAGAATGGGAATTCAATGATTGAATTGATTTGTTTACAATATGCTGATTGATGACATTCATTTTCGATTTCGTTCGGTTATGTTGTACTATGACCAAAATACATAATGATATCGAATGCAGCAACCTATCGATATGATAATATTTTGAAGAAATGGACATGTCACAGGCGAGTCGCGACTACAAATAGCAACATTTCCAAACGCCTATAAATCATGGACTCGCACGCCACGGACGAAGCTCCCAACAAACTCCATCAAAGCCTATGTACGCTGAGCATAATTTTGATTCATGAACAAATAGATTGAATCTTATATCACACATTGGTTCGATCTCTTAAAGTATTATTTATACTCACTTTTGTATACGAGCTCGTACTCCGAGGAGTGAGCGATCGATGGAATCGATTTGAGCAATGTACAATGGTGCCATTGTATATCATTTTGAAAATGACCTCGATTTCAGCATACAATTCTTGAATTTCCTTTTTAATTATTGCTAGCGTTGATACGTACACCTTTGTGCCATTGTTTGTTCAGAACGAATATAGCGAAAGACATGGCTTTTCAATGACAAACGAATCTACTCAAATTTCTAGTAATAATTCATAAAATTTTCTTGTTTGTTTTTATTTGATAAATTTGATTGTAAACACAAAATAAAATTTGTTTTAAATCACTAAATTAATTTAACATTTACAAATAACACGAAGAGAGACACAAAAACAAAAACGAAGAAAAAGAAGAAGTTATAAAATTCTTTGACGAAGGAGAGAAAAAAAAAGGTAGGAAGGAAGGGTGAGAAAGAAGGCGTAACAGTAGAAATAGCATAAAATCTGAACTGGCACTGCTGAATATTATTACATGTGTGTTGTTTCGCCGAGATCTGCTTGTTTCGAAGCTGCTTCTGTTCGTGCCTTTTGTGCATTGTCAAACTTGTCTTTACGTTTCATTATGAAGTACAATACTCTGTAAGCGAGAAAAACAGACAAAATATTATTTTGAATGAATAATTTTATGTTGGCGTGACTAACGATTCAAAAATGATTTAATACATACGCAAATAATATAGCGGTGATAACGAGGAATATAAAACTGACGAAATAAAATGCTGCTGGCCAATTTTCTAATGTGCTTTCGTAAACAACACTGTACAATGACACGAACACAAATTTACCGATGGCTTCGATAATTGCAATAATTGAAAATGAGCGGCCCAGCTCATCGGCATCAACAAATTTGGACAAGATACTCTTGATAACCAATGCTCGGATACTGATAAACGCATCGAGTGTTCGAGCGAAGTACATCATTACAAGTGTTTCGGCGAATGTCTGAAATAATTTGAATCATGATTCCAGTTAAAAATCAAGTTCAAAACGAATTGTTTCTGTTTTCGAAGTGGATGACAATGTGAAATTGCATGCTTTTTTCCAATAGTAAAAAAAAAATTGAATTTAAAATGTGGGTTGTTGAACTGATTTTAATACTTACATAGCAAATGCGAGAAACGCACGACAGTGAAGTGCCAATAACGCCCAATAATGGATCGGAGAATTTGAGCAATTTGCTCAACAAAACAACCATAATAATGGTTCCAACCAGAGATGTGGCATTTCCATAAGTTGCATACGTCGAATAGGTAATTCCGTCCCAGTTCAAGGCGATACGAGTGAAATTATATTCATTGGGCTCCTCACCAAATGCTGGTCCAATGGCAATGAAATACATAACGAACAATAGAATCACAGTGGCACGACCACGATTGACGCGTTTTCGCATCAACACCTTGATACACTCAACAGCCACCACGGGATTGAAGAAGTCGAGCAAACAATTTGTTTTTTTCTTCGGTTCCGACACTGACAACGTTATTTCACGGTGTCCATTTGCATTTTGTGTTTCACGCACATGTATATTACGCTCAGCATTATCGAATGCCAGGTTATCAACACCCGGTGTCAATTCGATCTCTTCCTTTTTTTCGCGTTTCACTTCTTTCATCACGAATAGGATGTAGAACACGCCCAATAGATTGATTGGAATGCAAATCAACAGCAATACTGAAATAGAAATGTGATTCAATGAACAAAAAACGCACTGTCAAATGCAGAAAACATGTATACGTACAAATATAGCCCAATTTTTGGAACAGAATGCCAGACCATGGAATGGATGCAATCGGAATCAGTGGAACGACTTGTGCAAATATTCCGAAACGCAGTGTACGATCTTCTTCAGCGGTTGTTTCACTAAGGTAACTGTACACACCCATCAACATAAGATTCGCACCACCTGTTATTGCCGGCAACAATTTTCCTAGAATTGCACTGAACTCCAACGGCAATTGCTTGAAAAACACCGCAGCAATCAAGTAAACTGTTTTTTTTTTTCAGGCAGTAAACAATATTTTGTGCGAGGAGGGAGAACGGAAAAGAGTGAAAAGAATAAAATTAGCGGAAAATGGTCATGTAACGGTAAACAAAATAAATGGCGAGTTGAAGTTAGGCGAGAACATGTAAAAAAGAAGCAAATTTTATTTAAAGAAAGAAATTCATAGAAGAATTCAGTAAATAAACGATATTATTTACCAATTAATGCCGCCAATTCGCCCAATAACGGTATCAACATGCAAGGTTTTCGTTTTCCCCGTTTGTCTGACCAGCCTCCAGCAAAAAGAATCATAATGATGCCAAATACCGAGTCTAAAATAAACACCAAAAAATATTTTCATACCAAATTTGAAACAAATTTTTAAATTTTCTCTCTCCAAATTATTTTGATTCAAAATATTTAATAAAAGGCCCAAAATTAAATATAATTTACCAAACGGTGCTGTGATCAAATTCAGCTTTGTATCCAATTTTTGGCTGTCAACTTCAGCTTGACAAACCAGCTGCTCTAATTCGGTGATGTCGAATTTTATGGTTGCATTGGAATTCGGTGGCAAAATCGGTGTACCATTTTTCCAAGTGTAGTCATCTAATACTTGCGATCGATCACTATACAGATGAATGGCTTGGTGTGATGATTCTTTCAACTTTTCACGAACAGTAACACAGTTGATATTATTGATCGTTTTATCTATCATATTATCGCAGACAACATCACTATAGTTGAAATTAACACGGCACGACTGAAAGGTGATAGCGGCATAAAGAACAAATCGGCGAATTAAATGAATGATAAATGTTGATTTAAAATCAATCATATTCAACGTACCTTTTCTAAAGCTAAATTTTCGACAGCTATGAAGAGGAAACAAGAGGGCAGAAGCCAGCACAGCATCAGTGGTTCGACCGTAATGTATGATAGAATTTTCAATAGACCTTTGCCGGAAAAGAACCAAGAGCATTTGAACTCTTCATTTTTGTTGGCCGTTTGTGTTCCATTGGCATTTGAGGCGGCGGTTGTTTTGACTGCGGTTGGCTGTTCGACAACCGATTGTTCGGTGGTGCGACTTGGTGTGGCACCATCCTCATCACCTTTGACTGCCATTTTTTTCACCCTCAACGATTTCAATCGGATCGTAGCAAATTTATCACTATCTTGGGCACCCTTAGTGTTTATGCTAGAGAATATGTAGTTTTTTAACGACATTTTGACGAGCTTTCTTTTTCTCACCGAAAGAACAACAACAACAGCAGCAACGTAATAGAGAAAACAGCCCCAAGAAATGCGGACAGAAGAAAATGAAATGCAGAAGAAGAAATATGGGGTAGAAGGATTATAGAAGGGTGTTGTTGTTTCGTTATCCGTTATTCGATGGTTTTTGGATTTAGTTTTTGTGACTTTAAGCGATCAATTCGTTTATCTCTTTTTCTCAGTTAATCGATGGTTGCCATGGGATTTTCAACAGCATGCATTTTAGTCATTCAGTTAATCTATCATCATTCAGTCAATGCGTTCTCGCCATGCAAATGGTTTATTTTTAATTGCACGATATTTGCTTCACAACCTTTTTCAAGCGAAAAAAAACGAAGTAGAAAATAATTGGAACATTCGGACGTGGTTGCCCTTCTTCTTAACTATTGGTTTCGTTGCGGTTTTCAATCTAAAATGGCATAAAATCAACTTAATAATTCATATGATGCCGATAGCAATAAAACCGAATTTTTTTTTTAAGTGCAAACGTGATAATTGGTGGAAAAAAAATTTGTGATCGTAGATCTTCTTCTTATACATACTTTGCACTAATCGTCGAATGATTTGAGTCATTCGTTTAGTTTTTTTTCTTTTCGTTTTTCATGGGAACACGAATCTACAATGAATTCTAATGACATATACACAAAAAAATGGCTGGATAATAGGCAGTTGAAGCGATTGTTTTGTTTTATTTATTATTTTTTCTTCCTCGTTTGATTCAGTCAATTCAAAGAAGTATCGTAATATGTGCGGTGATTTGTTAATTAAAGCGGCAATTAAAAAAAATAACACAATGTTTACCATATGCTAACCAGTTCAGATGGCGATCAATGCGATTTTGTGTTGTAAAATTGTCAACGTTTTGGCCCCGACGATGACGACGAAGACGACGGGAACACTGACAACAATCAATTTCCGTGCACGGCGACTAACTTTAATTATAATTAACATTAATCCCATTGAAATTGATTTTGGGGTGAAGCACACATATATATATATATATATATGAGATGAGTGATTACATACTCCAGACAAAAAATAAATAAACAGAAGAATATTTATATGCTTTAGGCGGTATTTTTTTGCATTTGCGTGCAGAGACCACACCAATCAAAATTGAAAATTATTGACAATTGGCCGCCGCATTTTTTCTATTCTTTAAATGACACAATTAGCAAATATACAAATTGAATGATGACTACAGCAAAAATCTCATGTTAATTTCCATCGATAATATTATTATGATATTAAAAAAAAAAAAACAACACCGACCAACATTTGATGAATAGAACTTAGGGACAATGAGTGCTTTATGCTTATATGTTTTTGTTCAAAATTTTGATGCTTTTATGCTAGTGGGTATTTTTCATGCCTGTGCGAAGCAAATTGGATGTATTTACACGGTAAATAAATTCGTACTCTTCTTCATGGGTGAAATTCATTCTTCAAATTGATTGAACATTCAGCATTGAGTGCTGTTGCTTACAATCAGCTGTATGAACAAAAATCTAATTAAATTCATTCCAATTGCTTTTGTTTTTATTATTGATTAATCCATCCAGTATTGAAATGGCCAAACTCCTCATTCTCTGTGCGAAGTTCTTCACTTCTGATTTGGAATGTGTTATACCTTAAACATAAACGTGGTTTTTTTTCCTCCATCATCATTTGATCGAAAAGGAACTGTTCGTCATATTGATCGATTGACCAATATTTGTTACATACATTGTTGTCTTATTGTGTTTACTCGGTGTGCCTACGTCTATGAATTTATTATGTGTTTTACTGGCTTTTTGTTTTCACATTCTTCCAATTCAAATGACAAACACACCGAAAAACTCGTTTTATAAACTCAAGATAAATGCTACAGCATATACATTGGAGCGATGATATATCTATTGAAAAAAAATTGTATTCATATCACCAAACCACGTCAATAAATGGCTTTTGATGCTCATTTAATAACTGTATGCAAAGGCATCACCGATTAACAAAACATGAATTGGACAATATTAATTTCAATCAATGGAACAAGTTTGTTCGTGTGTCTCTCCGGTTTGTTTTTCTTGTCTTCGTCTCACTTCGGTATTTACATGTGGCCAATATAATATTCTGCCGTTTGATGGCTATCAAATAGACGGAAATCTATTTTAATGGATTTTTTTCTTCTCTCTCTCTCTCTCTCTCTCTCTCTCTCTCTCTCTCTCTCTCTCT